GCCCCAGCACAGCCATTCCCATTTTGTTACAGGGAGCGGAGCCGAAGGTAGCGCTGCCGGTGCCCGGCTATGATGCCCTTTGGCGGGATGGCTGCTCGTGTGCAGAGGGACCGCCTGAGAGCCGAGGGGCTTGGCCAGCATAACAACGCCATCAAGTACCTCAACCAGGACTACGAGGCCCTCAAACAGCAGTGCATTGAGAGCGGCACCCTCTTTAGGGACCCCCAGTTCCCAGCCGGCCCCACTGCCCTCGGGTTCAAGGAGCTGGGGCCACACTCCAGCAAGACGCGAGGGGTGGAGTGGAAGCGCCCATCGGTGAGTGTTGCTTCTCCTTGGGCTGGGCTGACGTCCCTGCACCACGATGTCTGCACCGATGTGGTTTGCCGTACGTGCTGCAGGCTGGTGCTGGCCCACTCCTCTGTGTGCTCAGAGCCCCTCGAGTGCTTCCCAGCCTCCTTTCCCAAGGGGTGAGAGCAATGCCCCATGTGTGCTCAGAGAAGCATCGTGTCTAGCAGGCTCTGGGCAACAGAACATGGACTATAAAATGGGTGGGCTGTGTCATTGCTTCTAGGTGTCAGGGCATGGATGTGTCACTGGGGCTTTTGAGGGTGGCACGAGTGGAAGGGGAATGCCATTAGTCTATCGAGCCGTGTCCTCCCATGGCTACAACAGAAGATCTTGCTTTGCCCTACCGTGATGGCCTTGGCGTTGCAGCCAAGCAGGTTTCCTTGGCAGAGGGCAGGTGGGGTGCATCTCTTGGGGACCATGTACCCATCCTGCCAAGCCACAGATGCCGTGGGTGCCAGCCCCCCAGGCCCTGCTGAGATCCAGCACCAACATCTGATTCTCTCCTCCTCCTGCAGGAATTAGTGGATGACCCTCAGTTCATCGTTGGCGGTGCAACCCGGACAGACATCTGCCAGGGAGCTCTGGGTGAGTGCTGGAGCTCTATCCCCAGACCTTGGTCTGGAGAGCAGTGGCTGGGGATGGTTGGCAGGGCTGGAGAAGAGGTGTTTGTGTAAATTTTGAGAGTGGATCAGTTTCACAGCCCCTGTCCCCAGGCCCACGCAGCACATTATCATGCCAGCCTCTGCACAACCATCTCCATACCAAAGGATCACTTCCCATTTAGCGCGGTGGAAGCTGGAAGGCGGGGGAATGCCCTGTGCCTCCTGGTGGCTTTAAGTTAAGGCTCCATGGAAATGGGTTGATGCGTGCACAGCTTGAGCATGGGGGAGCATCAGGGGAGATGACGGGTGGATCCATACCTGATAGTCCTGGTTTTGGCTGGGACAGGGTTAACTTTCTTAACAGCAGCTGGTGTGAGGATGTATTTTGGATTTGTGCTGAGAAGGCGGCTGATAACACACTGATGTTGATAGTTGTTGCCAGGACAGTCAAGGACTTTCCAGCTTCTCTGCTGTGTCCGTGTCTGCAGGTGCAGGAGAAGCTGGGAGGGAGCACAGCCCCAGTTACGAGCCTAGGATTTCACCTTAGGTTTAGGACTGAGACCCAAACCGGCCAGCGACATATTGCATATCATGCATGGTATTATAGATGAGGCTCTGTCTGGAAGTGCTCTTTCTCTCCGGGTCGGCTCTTTCTGGGTTGCCCCTCTTTTGGGGTCATCTCGCTCTCTTGGTCAGCTCTCGGTCTCTCAGATGCTCGGGCTCTTATCTCCTTTCCAGAAATCCAGTTTTGGGACTCTCCCTGTTCTGAGATCATTAGCAAGGAATGGGCTGAGCCTTGGTCATTGGGTGGTGAGCAGTTTCACTGTATATACACACTCATTTGTGTATTTGTATATATTACTATTATTATTGTCATTATTCTTATTATTATTTTCAGTATTATTGTAGTTTAGTTATGGAATTGTTGTTATCTCAACCCACGAGTCTCTTTTCCCCTCACCCCTTCAATTCTCTCCTCCATCCCTGGGATGAGGGAGGGTGAGTGAGCGGTTGTTGTTGTGTTTTGCTGCCAGCCAGGGTCAAACCACAACACTGAGCTCCTTGCTTTGGTAAATGGTGAGGGATAGCATCTGTATGACAGTAACAAGCTGAGGTGAGGATGTGCTGGTCATGACACAGTGCTTGCGGAGCACCGTGGCGTGGCAGAAGGGAATTAAGAGGAGAGCTATGGAGTACGAGCAATGATTTGTCATTGCTCCAGGGGTGTCTCCCAAGGCAAAGGCACTGAGACAGGGAGAGCAGTGTTAATGGGCTGGGCAGGCTGGCAGGGCTGGCAGCTGGGATTTCGTGGTTATCGGAACCAGATCTGGGTACCACCAAGAGCATCGTTGTGATTTGGATCCAGTTGGGCACTTGATGAGGAGTATCGTATTGCTAGCACACATAGCCCGCTGGTTCAGGGCTGACCACATTGGATGCACCCCGTAATTAGAACAAACCTGAGGCGGTAACGGGAGCACCTAACAGCCCCAAGCGCTGCAGTGGTTTTCAGTTGGTCATTAAAAAGTCTGAAATGCCATTTTGTCAAACCACAGCCCAGTACAGGTTATCCAGGCTCAAGGCTAAGGTGTGACAGGCTTCAAAGGCAAAAGAGAAAGGAGAGACCAGGGCAAAGAATTAGAAGCGTGGTGCTGGCCTGGGGCAGCACTTGTGGTTCAGAGCTCTTGGAAGGAAAAGCGCGGTGGTGTTTCTTGCAATTTGAGAAGCCAGAGCAGCAGCATTAAACCTCTCGCTTGATAAAAAGGGTTTTTTTAAAAATGCGAAGTGTGATTCCACTGCAGAACTCACTGTCTGAGTTGTGGAAGGCACCCACACGAAGGAGCCCCAGGAGGTCTGGATAAATGGCTGCAGGAGGGGGCTGTTGGTGCTGACCATACGTGGTGGTCTGGCCCCAGGCTCCAGGTCAGGGAGGATTGTTCCCTGCTGCCGAGAGCTAACGCTTCTCTCTGAGACAGGCTGAACAAACCTGGATCCCTGAGCTCTGTTTGCCCACTGGACCCTCTCTGGTTTCTCCATGTGCTTTTTTGAGCCCCAAACATTTGCAAGGAGAGCACACCGTGGCCTCCTACACATCCACCGCCTGCCCCCAAAGCAAGGGAGGTGCTGGGTGCTCACGCCGATGTCCTCTCCTTCCCCAGGCGACTGCTGGCTGCTGGCTGCCATCGGCTCCCTCACGCTCAACGAGGAGCTCCTGCACCGCGTGGTGCCCCATGGGCAGAGCTTCCAGGAGGACTATGCCGGCATCTTCCACTTCCAGGTGGGCTGGGAGCTCCTGGCCCTCCACAGCTGGTGGTGGGAAGGAGGGTGGTGGGCTGAGGACATCCCTCTGGGGTAGGGATGAGCAAGTTCATGCGATGCTCTGAGCTCACCCCTCTCTCCTCTGATTTCCCCAGATCTGGCAGTTCGGTGAGTGGGTGGACGTGGTGGTGGACGACCAGCTGCCCACCAAGGACGGGGAGCTGCTGTTCGTGCACTCGGCGGAGTGCACCGAGTTCTGGAGCGCTTTGCTGGAGAAGGCTTATGCCAAGTGGGTACCCCC